AGTGTCAGCCTAACCCATGACATGATGCAAGAAATTAAGATTCCCATTATTGAACATACGTCTTGAAGATGCTAGTGGAAAAGTCAATGTGGGAGAACTGTGTTAAAATTACAGTAAAAAATAAAGCTACGTTAATAAGGATGCACCGTGAGGGATTGCTAGCGCAGTAAATGAATTTGGCCAAATGAGTGGGGTTGACAGAAATGCAGCAGAACTGTGATATGCCATCGTCCTTTCCTGAGGTTTTGTTATACTTGAGCACAGTTTCATAGAGATGTTTTGAAAACACAGTCCTCTCCAAATATGAAATATTTAGTTTCGTAACCTTTCAGCATTGGAAAGCAAGGAAGCAGAGCACAGGTTGTCACTTGCGTATTGGATTGTCCTGTGCCTCCCTGTGCAAGCAGATGATTGTCACTTCTCTGACTTGCTGCCTTTGGTGAGCGTGAGGACTCTATCAGTTGGATTCACTGGAAGTGATGAGTCAGTGCCTTGACTATCACCATCTTCTCTGGTCCTGTCACACATCATCTGTTCTGGATATTGTTGTGGTGGGGGTTTGTTTATTTCTTTTTCTCATATAACTCTTTACACTTCTGCGTGGGAAGACAGTGACCCACTCTGAGGTCTTCTGCTGTTTGGTCTCATTTAGCAAATCAGGCTTGTTGGGTCTTAATCTTGAAACACAGGAAACCCACCGATCTACCCATTCCAGGAAGACAAGACTCATGGTCTGGCACAGTCCTGGATCTCTTCGGATACAGAGTGCTGAAGTGGCCAGCTTAGGATGAGGTTTGTTTTGGTGATGTGAAGTTGTTGTAACAGGTGACAGCAAGAAGACTCTGTTTAGCAGCATAAGGAGTTTGATATGTATCAATAAACCAATTACTTTTGTAAATGTAAGAAAGTAGCTTTAGCAAAAAGAAAACTTAGTTTCCACCTTAAATCCTTCAGCAGAATACTCTTTCTTTGTTTAGAATGTTTGATAGACCTGGAGACAGTGCTGCGAACATTTGATGAAATAGCTATGCTGGAAGCAGTAATTCTGTTGAAGAGATCAAAGGTAAGTGGCTTTTGTTACAGTCGTGAGTTGGTCAACTAAGTTGGTAAGTTTTGCTTTCTAAAAGAAATGTAATCTCCTTTGCCATTTATCTAGTCTTGTATCTGGCTGAAGCATGTGTTTGTGCAGAGCTGCTGTCTTGTCTTATAGCAAAAACTTAATCCAAGTAAATATGTCTCTTCCAGTCTCTATATGAATCACGATGTATTTACAAGAGTGGAAGGAAAGCAGATGTGGAGCAGATATCTCTAAATATACCTCTGAATCCCCAAGAGGTAAATATTTTACATGTTGCATTTGGTATATCGACATCATTAAAGATCCTGAGAGCTTTAAAGGGAGTTGACTTAGTCAGGGGAATTGTTCTGCAGTTTACTTTCCCATGCAGTCAGGAGAGGCATAAAATGCATTAGCTGAGCTGGTGTGTAGCAAATGCATAGTCATCTAAGTGAAGATAGTCAAGGATGGGTAAGCAGAAATAAGAAGGACGTGTTTGGTATATCCTGTAAGTGTGGGAAAGCCATCCCCTCAAGGAGGAATGCAGCACACAATGTCTGCAACTTGTAAGAGATTGTCTTCTGCTCCCTTTCTCCTCCATGAAGCCTGCTTATATAGGGTCATACAGATTTCTTTTGTATTTTAATAATGCTGCTGCTCTTAGTTCTTACTAATAG